GCTTTCCTTGAAATGACAGTCTTATTTCATTCATTTTCAAGAAAATGTCTGTCAAACATTGTGAGAAAATGTCTGCCAAATCTGAATAACCATAGTTTGTCTGTCACTCAGTCTTCCAAGTAAAAATGGAATTCTGTGAAAATAGTGGCTAGTTCAGCTTGCAACTCAAACAACTGCACAAGTGCTTTTCCCCAGGACAGCCTTCATATTTTATATAGAGCAGAAGTGTTTTATTACATGTACTTTCACTTCATCACAAAGAATATTCAAAAGACATGTTCTCAAAGTTGAGATTTAACAAAATAATTGTTACTGCTTCTTTAAGGATATTTTCAAATGGAACTGGGTTATTTATTTATTTATTTATCTATTTTTACTGCGAGCATATGATCAGTGAAAAATACAGTATCTTTTGGTGCTACTGCCTTGATTCCTGCTAAGGTGCTAGCAGTTTCACCCATCAGTGCTTTTGGATCATTACTGTAAATACTACCAGAGTAAAAAAGGCAAGAAGTGTTACAGAGAGTTTAGATTCCCAGGACCCCTGAAAGGGTCTCAGGGACCCCTAGAGGTCTATAAACCACATTTTGAGAACCACTGCCTTCAATAACTGTATTTCTGACTCCTCCACTACCCTCGGATTAAACCAAGTAGCTGTATCAGCATAGGGAAAGGAAACCTGAAAGCTCATGTCATGTCCACAGAGATGGATCTGCTTCATGTTCATTTGCCACAGCTCTGATATGGAGGGAACGGCAGGGAACAAAGACCGCCCAAACATATTCTCCTCCACCCTCCCATGCTTCTCTAAAGCAGCACTTCCCAACCTTTGTCATGGCAGGAAGAGAAAGTATTTTTATTAATGGGTAAAGGGATAAGGCTGCCTAAGGCTTGGGGACCCTTGCCTGGAGCCACAAACCCTGGAGGTACAGCCTTCAGAAGAGCAGAGGGGCTCGTAGCTGGACTTTCCAGTGGGTATGCCAACACACATGAGTTGGGCAGGTGTGTACTAAGGTTTTCAACACAGAGGGAGGCTCTCAGGACTGGGGGATGTCTGTTCCCCATTCAGCTTCATGCTCCATAAAATTCTTAAAGCTTAGCTCAGATGTGAAAATTCACAAATTATCTGATTACACTTTATTTTTGTTGTTGTTATTTATTTATTTATTGAGACAGAGTCTCTGTCACCCAGGCTGGAATGCAGTGGCATGATCTTGGCTCACCACAACCTCCACCTCCTGTGTTCAAACGATTCTCATGTCTCAGCCTCCTGAGTAGCTGGGATTACAGATGCCCGCCACCATGCCTGGCTAATTTCTATATTTTTAGTAGAGATGGGGTTTTGCCATATTGTCCAGGCTGGTCTTGAACTTCTGACCTCATGTGATCCACCTGCCTCAGCCTCCCAAATGATTACACTTTAAGATAGAGTCCAGAGTATATTAAAGATTGAGGAAGAACTTGTCCAGAACATCTTCAGATACAATGTAGTGATTAAAAGCACAGAATCTGACTCCCAAACTACCAAGAAGTCCGAGCTCTGGCTACACCACTCATTAGCTGTATGACCTTGGGAAGGTAACTTAACATCTTGGTGTTTAAAATTCTCTACCTATAAAATGTGGACAATAATAGTGCTTACCTATTGTAAGTATCAAATGAATTTATATATAAAAGCGCTAAGGATGATACCTGATGGGTGGCTATATTCGTTATTATTATTATGTATGTGTTGCAGGTTCTCCTAACTCAGACTGCTGAACATGACAGTACTGAATTATAAATTTACAAAGAAAGAGAATCCAGGAGATACCAAGAGGCTAGATGTTAACCTGCAGGATTCCAAATCTGAGGAACTGTGCTTGGAACAGTGAGGCAAGAGGTGTGCAAACAGCAGAATGTGCCTGGCTTTTTCATTTTACTTATGGCATATGTCAAGGGCTTCCAATCTAAACCTTCTTTTACCTTATCAAGACACAGGTAAGTTTCTGTATTATTTTTTCCTTGGAAGGGGCCATGACTCAAAAATAATCATTATGGACTGTTAACCAATCTACTTCTTGCCAAAGACTTTTTCATGATGGTATCACGTGATTGGGCAGGTCTTGGGCTTCAAGAGCCTTCTAGAAAATTAGGACAGATGATCCAAAGCTGGGACTCTCCCAGACACACCAGATGCCTGCTTCTTTACCTTAGGTTGGATGTGTTGTTATCTTTACTTAATGGTTTTTGGCAATTATTTAGCCTGGCTCATAAGATCATTATAATTCATTAAGAGTTTTAGGTTACATCTGAAGTTGAGGGCTTTCAATTGTCCTCTTCATGCAAGAAATCAATATCTGAATTGCAGTTACAAGTTTGCAAAGCAATGCAAGATCATCATAACAAGAAAATAGTCACAACTATTTTATATATTTTATATAAATATATAACTATTTTATATATTTTATATAACTAGCTACTTAAAAACTTAGCCCTTCCTCAAACATCCCTCATAGCTTAACACTAGGATCTAACCCCACTTACCACGTCAATGCCTTTTGCAGGTCATTCAGTGCTTGCGTAATGTAATAAACACCGCACAATTACAGTCTAGATAAAGGGCAAACCTGTCCATGCAAACTCACTGACAAAAGAAGATCTGGCCAACTTGGAGAAGAAAAAAAAATCAGCAAATAATAACATCACAAAAACTTCAAAAGAAAATAATTAACAAGGCTGGTCATGGTAGCTCACATCTGTAATCCCAGCACTTTGGAAGGCTGAGGTGGGTGGATCTCTTGAGGTCAGGAATTTGAGAACAGCCTGGACAACGTGGTAAGACCCCCACCTCTACAAAAACTTTTTTTAAAAACTAGCCAGGCATGGCGTTGTGTGCCTGTAGTCCCACCTACCAGGGAGACTGTGGTGGGAGGATTGCCTGAGCCCAGGAGGTCAAGGCTGTAGTGAGCCATGATCATGTCGCTGCACTTGTTCATTGTTTAATCTAAGAGTTTAGTTTGTAGTTGCTATTGTAATCCATATTTTTGTCAAATAAGACAAAACGATTTATTTTTATAAGCGCTATTTCATTTTTCAAGATAAAGTCTCAATCAGTCTTCTTACCCATCACCCCTGGATAGTAAATAAAATGGAGATTTTGGTCCCTGATAAGTGGCCTTTTCCTGTTACTAAGACTCCTAAAACAATGAGCAT